AAAGGCTGTTTCAATGGTTTGGACAAATTGTTGTTGCATGTAAAATTGTTATGGGTGAGAATTGCATGAGTTTGGTAACGTGTCTGGGGTGGACATCAGAGTTGTCCACTATCTTGTATTTGTTTGAGGCAGGCAATGATGCCATCATTGTGAGGAATATTGGTGTATAGGGAAGTGACCTCTGTGGTGTTAAGGACAATCTTCAAAAGGAGGTTGTTAATGCTGCAGAATTTCTGAAGGAAGTCAGTTGAGTCCTGGAGGAAGCTGTCCCTTTGTGTGTTGAATAGTTAGGATGGTTTTCATTTGCTCTGCAGACGCCAGTCGGATGATACTTTTTTCTTACAATTGTCAGTGGAGCCATAGGATGATTGCTGGTGGGACATGGTAACTGGGAGTGGTTTTCGAATGTTCAAAAAAGTGCATTAAGGCAGAGTTGGCAAAATAATTCTTCTAGTTCCCCACTCGCTAGTATAGCCTCAACTCTGTGTAGGGATGTTAAAGACTATAGTCAATTAGTCAACTATCTGATAAGCATTTGCTTATAGGACAGTCTTTTGACTAGTTGATATCCTCTTCTTCTTGCTGCCTCTATGAGCTCCCAGGTTCCGGGGAAATGCCGCGGGAAGCTGAGGGCCAGTGGGGAGTCCCCAGCTGACCCCAGGCTCCATGGCTGTCCCTTTGATTTGTGCAGAGGCGGGATTTTAAAGGGGCAGCCCGCCTCACAGCTGATCCGTGGATTAGCTCTGCGTCGGGCTGCCCCTTTAAAACCTGCCTCCATGCATTTCAAAGGGGCAGCTGCCGTAGAGCATGGGGTCGGCTGGGGTGCTGGAGAAGTGCTGCGTGGAACCTGGGGTCAACTGGGGACTCCCCAGCTGACCTGGGTCTCCTAGCAGCATGCAGCATAGCATGGATCCTGGGGTCAGCGGGGGGCAAAGTCCTCCACTGACCCCAGGCTCCTTGGCTTTGTAATGCACAAGAGCCCCAACTGGGGACTCGTGTACATTTCAAAGCAGGCATCCGCATGCAGCGCGAAGTCAGAGGGAATTCCCGCTGGCCCTGGGCTGTATGCAGAAGTGCCTATCGACTAGTCGATTAACCCCATTTTAACATCCTTACTTCACTTTTGCCCTTCGTTCTGACAATTACTATCTGATCAAAATTAAGCCTATCCAGTGAGAGACAATCATCATTCCAAATTGGCTTCTCTCTCAGTGACAGAGCTCTGTGAACATGCAGCATTTAGTGTGTAATTTTTACAGTAGCAAAGTTTCCATCTAAACTGAAAGAAGATAATGTTCTAAAGAAGAAAGGGAGAAGTACAGTAAACTTCCGATAATCCGGCACCTTTGGGACCTAGGTGGTGCTGGATTATCGGATATGCCGGAGTATCGGGAGGTACTCCGGCGGGGGGCTGTGACAGGTCTGCTGGGACCCGCACTGCGTCCGGGGGTGGGTGGGGAACGGCACGGCGAGAGGCGAACCCTCTGCTGTTTTGCAGGAAGGCAGGGGAAGCCCCGTGCCGCCACTGAGAGTTTCCGGGAGGGGAGCGGGCTCCCCATCCCCCAGACTGCAGTAGTTATCGCCGAGCAGAGGGGTGAGGGGCAGCGCTGCAGGACCAACCCGGCAGCACCCCAGTTGCTCTGCTCCGCTGCTTCCCCAAGTCCACCGCTAGTCAGTTCAGCAGTAGCAGAAGCAGACTTGGGGAAGCGGCGAGGTGGAGCAAAGCAGCTGGGGTGCTGCCGGACGCCGAGCAGGGGGGTGAGGGGCAGCGCTTCAGAACCAACGCGGCAGCAC